TGGAGCACTGTGTCCACTTCTGGGCTCCCCAGTACAAGAGAGACATGGACATACTGGCGAGAGTCCAGCAAAGGGCCATGAAGATGATTAAGGGACTAGGGCATTTCTCTCATCAGGAAAGGCTGAGAGAGATGGGCCTGTTCAGCCTGGAGAAGAGAAGGCTCAGGGGGTATCTTATCAATATACATGAATATCTGAAGGGAGGATGTAAAGAGGAGGAGCCAGGCTCTTTTCAGCGGTGCCCATTGACAGTACAAGAGGCAATGAGCACAAACTGAAACACAGGAGGTACCATCTGAAAATTGGGAAACACTTTTTCACAGTGAAAAAGTGAGTGACCGAGCACTGGCGCAGGTTGCCCTTAGAGGCTGTGGTGTATCTATCCTTGGAGATATTCAAAAGCTGTCTGGACATGGTCCTGGGCAGCTTGCTTTGTGTGACCCTGCTTGAGCAGGAGGTTGGACAAGACAACCCCCAGAGGTCCCTTCCAACCTCAACCATTCTGTGTTATGCAATTTTAACCATGTAAGTTGCATGGAAAAGCCTCACTGGGTAGGGCAACAGTAGTATGTCAGCTACAAAAGGAACCCTCCAGGGACAAAGAGAAGGTAGTGGAGAGGCAGTTTGTTTCTCAAATCTAATAAAAAAATGGAAATAAATTAGGACAACAGTCTGGCGAGGTAAAATTAATCATAAGGTGACCCTGATTGTTCTTGCTTCTGAGGTTCATGAATGTAATGTCAGATGAGGTGGGAAGGTATGTCTTGTTCTATGTTCCACTACAAGAAAATAACAACATCTAATGCGAACCTTCCTTTACCATTTAACAGTAATAGAATTTTTTGTTTGTACATGCATGGTCAAATGTGTACTTCAGTGGTGCTACTCCTGCTCTGTGCATGTTTTTCATCCATTATATTGAAGAATAAACTGAAGTTTCTTTTGACTGGTTATCTTAAAAATTATAGCCCAATCACCTAATTTACCACCTTGAGAGCTCCTTAAATGCAGAACTGCAGAAAGGTAAATGATAAGACAGTCTGACTCCATACCTGTTAACTTGTAAAGATTTTTGTGAGCCCATGCTATTATCACTTTACTGTCACACTGATTAAAAAACCCCTCATCCCAGAATCAAAATGTCATCTAATAAAAATCGTGTTGAAGGTTCATAGCAATTTTAGATGCTTTCAAAACACATTAGTAACTCTGAACATTAATAATTATATTCTCATATTACTAATGTGACAGTGCAGAACAAGAATACCAGATACACAAAATCAAATAGTATAGAACCATAGAACAGTTTGGCTTGGAAGGGACCTCTAAAGGTCATCTAGTCCAACCCCTCTGCCGTGGGCAGGGACATCTTCAACTAGATCAGGTTGCTCAGAGCCCCGGCCAACCTGACCTTGAATGTTTCCAGGGATGGGGCATCCACCACCTCTCTGGGCAACCTGTGCCAGTGTTTCACCACCCTCAGCGTAAAAAATTTATTCCTTAAATCAAGTCTAAATCTACCCCCCTTTAGTTTAAAGCCATTCCCCCTTGTCCTGTCGCAACAGGCCCTGCTCAAAAGTTTGCCGCCATCTTTTTTATAAGCCCCCTTTAAGTACTGATAGGCTGCAAGAAGGTCTCCCCAAAGCCTTCTCTTCTCTAGGTTGAACATCCCCGACTCTCTCAGCCTTTCCTCATAGGAGAGGTGTTCCATCCCCCTGATCATTTTTGTGGCCCTCTTCTGGACCCGCTCCAACCGGTCCGTGTCCTTCTTATGCCGAGGGCTCCAGAGCTGGACGCAGTACTCCAGGTGGGGTGTCACCAGAGCAGAGTAGAGGGGCAGAATCACCTCCCTGGACCTGCTGGCCATGCTTCTTTCGATGCAGCCCAGGATACAATTGGCCTTCTGGGCTGCGAGCGCACATTGCGGGCTCACGTCCAGCTTTTCATCCACCAGTGCCCCCAAGCCCTTCTCGGCAGGGCTGCTCTGTATGTTCAAAACGTCAATGCTTCAGCTTACTCAAACACTGTAGAAATCGATGAATTAAGTAGTTGAACATGACAGTGTTCTGACTGGAAAATTATCCCACGTTTCTGACTTATTATAAGCTAACCATTAAATGCTCTTGCAGTTTAGATCTTATCATAATGAAACTGAAGTGATTTACAAAGAACTAGCCATGTAAATGAATTAGTTTCCTATTCGTATATTAAAATTAGAGGACCAATTAAGACTGCTCAGCAGCAAACTAAACCTATTTTCTATAGAACAGCAGCTACCTTTATCTGTCCTGAAAGCAAAGTTAGGCTAAACAAGTCAAATCAAACATTTGTACATAAGGGTCTAACTCAAAAGATTCATGCAAAGAAATGACCTCATGTCATCACTGCATGTCTTCAAAACAGAAAGACCCTAGAAGGTAAAATGGATCACACTGAAAACTGCAATGCATTAGAAATAAGCTAACTTTTAACTTCCCAAACTACCTCATGTGTTAAAACTTTTTATGTTACAATCCTGAAGAACATGACAGCAGTTTACAAGGTTGCTCTGGATGTATCCCTGTCATTGTAAATGACTGGCAATGCGCATCTTACAACATCTCTGAAGGTGAGGAAAGGGATAGCAGAAAGTCAGCAACGTGTCTTCAAAAGGTCAGCGTTCATGTGGAAGCTACTAGAGACAGCACACACACAACTGAGGGACAATGTGTGGTGGGCTGTGTATCTCTTCGGCTAAAGCTGGGAGGGGAACACAGTCATGGCCCTCCGTCAATTTCCAGGCCGATGATAAAATCTGTGCTGTGTCTTGCTGGTGCAGAACTGTTGACACTAGACATGCTGAATTGCCATACTTCACAACTATTGATAGTGATTTAGTAGCACTGTGGACTGAAAGTATTTTTAATTACTTCCAAGTACTTCCAATGGACTGGTAGCTGTCAAAGGAGAGTGACAAGAACATACAGGGACACAAACATGACCAACAAACGATAAGGGAGGCAGTGATGACAACCAAACATGGTCAGCCACACTAATTGATGAGAGCATGTCAGAGAATGAGAATGTTTATTCTAGTGAGGCTAGCTGATTGGGGATCTTGTCAATCGGGAAACTGAGGGAAAAGGGGGAAACCAGAAACAAAATATAGAGAGACACAGACCTGACAAAACATAGAGACAATGACAAGAAACAAACATCGCCACTAATTGATGGGCTATCAAGAAACTACAGGTGCCACTTCCGGGAAGACCAGCCTGGACTTTGCAACGGGTAAGACTGCAAGCCAGGGGAGACCTGGACTGTGAAGGGTGTGAGAATCGATAGTGCTATACAAACCTACCAGTGGCTGGAGCAGGACCATGAGTCACAGCCTGTCTGCCTGGTGGTGGCTGCTGGGGGCGCAGCATCTGTATCTTCCCCAATCCTGGTGTGCATGAGGTCTGCATGTGTTTTCACTAGCAAACTTTAAGCTGGACTAGCCAGTGAGTAGCGGATCTCAGGTCTGGGCCAGGGTATCAGGTGGGAGGTCTGTGTTCGTATACCCAGGGGGACTTGTGAATGTGGAGTGCATGAGGGACAAGTGTGAGTGCATGTGTGCTGGCTAGCGAGCATCAAGCTGGACCAGCCGGCGAGTAGGGGACCTGTGAAGCAGGTAAGAGGGCAGGGGTGCCAGGCAGACGGAGGCGCCATGATGGTACTCAAGGGATCCGCAAATGTGTGTGCACTTGTGAACCTGGAGAGTGCTGTGGTGTGCCTGCGCTAGTGATCTTCTACCTCTGCCAGCCAAAGAGGAGGAGGAGACTTGGCTGTCTGTGTTTATGTTTATGTGAGTCCTGTATGTAGGTGCTGTCGAAGGCAGTGCCTTGTCTGTGGTCAGCCGTGTCAGTGTCCTGTGTGCTTGTGTGTGTCCGTGTGTCTCTGGGATGCATACTCAGCTTCGCTACTGGTTGAACCCACAAACGGGAAAGTGACAGCTGCATCCCTCAGCCTGGGCAGAGGCCCTGGGTCCCTGGGCACCAGGCTGGGCTGCAGTGGTTGGGCAGGAGGGTCCTGGGCTGAAGCGGCTGGAGGAGACAGCTGCACATCTAACATCACTTAACAGTAGCTTTGTGGAAGAACAGACCTGTGAGCTGAGACCTACCAGGCATGGACTCCCTACTACTCACATCTGACCTACAGGAGACTAAAGAAGAATTTGCCTGTACTACAACTGGGATCAAAGTGAAGAACAGCTTTCAAAGACGGAGAAATGAAAATACTGCTACTGTGTAGCAATGAGATGGTCTTTGTGCTGGTATGGTGCACAACAACAAGCCAGGGTAGATAATCCCTCTAGTTTCCACACTGGGAGCTCTTGATTTTAGGGAGAATAAAGCAGTAATGGTCTCGAGGAAGTAGCAGTCTGGATGCTGTCCTGGCTCCAGCTCATGACCACAAGTAGTCTGAGGCAGTTGACGGTTAAGGAAGGACAGGCACACAGATGCGGCTTGCACTCTGATTCCCATTTGAAGCACTCCCACTACTGCATACTAAACTACTTCTGAATCTTTTCTTGAAAACAGCAATTAAAAATCACTGAAAAATAATGGAACAAGCCTATCAGGTTGCCAAAGCATGCATGGGGCATATGGTGGGAAGAAAAACCTGCAGGGTTCTTCTAAAGGCCTTTGCCTCCAACATCTATGCTATTAGATCAGACTTTTTCACATCTAAGTAATTTAGAGCAGAAGGAACTACACTTAGGAAGCGTCAAAGAAAACCAGGAAGAGAGGTCCCACCAGTGTAAGAGCATCAAACCCCAATTTACAATAACAAAGCCATGTCATCAACAGTAGGTATTTCTAATGAAAAATAATTTATCATCTTCAACATTTAAAATGTGGTAGACTAGCACCAAATGATCCGTCTCTGAAGTACATAGACATTGCACAAATATAACATCAACTAAATACCAGCCAGTAATTAATAAAACTTCAAAATTTCCAGGCAGCTTTAATTACCTTTGTTTTGCTTCTTCATGCGGATGGTTGTACTTTTAAATTTCACTGTAATGTCATGGTAAACTGGAGGGGAGAAAAAAAGGCATTACAGTTAAATTATTCCTTCTAGAAAAGCTTTAGCTCAGCACATTTAAGGAGTACCTTTCTTCAGAACTGTGAACGGGAAGTTGGTTTTACTCTCCTCTGAGTTCTTTAAAGAGAAGGGTTAATTTAGGTAAATTTCTGGAATAGATTAGGAATATTTACACATCTGTGAATACTATGTTACTATTGTATACAAAAGCAAGCTTCACTTGAAAAATATGAAGTGGCTGTATGCCTCCAATGATCCTCATTTAGCTTTGAAGTGAGCTCACCTGATACAATTTAACCTTCTTCCTCATACTCAGATTTTTCTAATGATTCAGCTTTTAACCTAAGATTTCCCCATAGGCTTCAGCATTCTTGGATTTTTCATACGAATATTTACCATTCCAGTCTTCCTGCTTCTCTCTGCTTCAAAAGGAACCCCAAATTCATATCCTCTGGTGGGTGGCTGTTATATACATCTGATTCAGTGGCTCAGTCTCTGCATAGTGGATTCTAGCACTGCAGTCAAGATGACTCAGAGAGGACCTCTATGTTAAGTAGAATGGAAAGCATGGTGGAAACACCGCCAGTTTTTAATCAAATCCCCAATCTGTTAGTGTGAAATAATAATACTCAAGGTATAGACTCATGAGGATAACTGCAGTTTTGTATTTGTAAGCTGAAGTTTTATTATACTGAATATTTCTACAAAATGACTTGGTTAAATAGTCATATACTCTGTAAGATACTATCTTTCAAAATTTTTCTGAAAGATAATTGAATATTTGGTATACTGCTACCACGTCTGACATCCGAGAGCACTTGTATGATATTAAACTGCATTAACAAAAAGCTACCATGAAACATCAGACTGACTTCTCTAGCCCACGTTCTCCCCAGCTGCTGGGCTTTGTCAGCGTACGTGGATTTCATCAACAGGGAATCATCTCTGACATACAAAGGGGAAAAGCACAGAGCAGTTCACTGTAGAGAAGAGATGCCCAGACAGTATCTGACTTCCTTAACTCAAATGTGCCAGCAGAGATCTAGTCTTGCTACTACTCCCTCCCCCCGCCCCCATTTTTAAAGAGCCTGAAATACTATGCATTAAGTATCCAAATTTTAAACATGGCAAAGGCAGGAGACTAGAAGGGAGATAAATCTCTTAATATTTTAACAACAACATCTCGTATTATGTAATCTTAACTTTTTTTCATGGACCTTCCTACAACTGTTGATACAAACCTGAGTGAAAGTAAAGAGTAAACCACATATTCATTCCAGGTAATGGTGATTTATTTTACACAAGGATTGACAGACTATGTACTCTGACATTACCACTGTCCAGCTAAAACAGTCTGGGGCTAAGACTTCATACAGCATGCTGAAGAAACAAAATAATGCATGAAGAATAACAATACAATGCATCAGATCAGAAAGGTTTTAGTTAACATCTTTTTATGTTTTGTAACTAATTGCGTACTTACGGAAAGTTAAAGAAGGAATCTAAAAAATAATACTTACTTGTCTGGTTCTGATACAGCTCTATAAAATGTAAGCAGCGTATTGCTTTATTCTTTGCCTAGGGAATAAAAGCAGAAAACATTTTTTCTTGAATTTTTCTGCAAAGTATTTGAAATTTATCATTGTTCAGTTAACTAGACAGAAAAAAAGGAAAAAAGAAAACTTAGGAAAACAGGTTTGCCACATCTAAACCATTTATTTTTTGGAAATGAAAATGTTGTCTTTAAAGAACTGCTTTCTCCTAACAGATTGAATATTTAAAAAGATTTCTCAATATAGTAACAACTTTATCAAACTTTGTGTATTTTAGCATTGCTACTTTGATAGCTTAGTTGAGCATTACAACACAAACTAGATTAATGTAGATGCACAAATTACATTTTGAAGTCTAAAGGAGCCTTAATAAGGTCATTATGCATGTGTAAGAGAAAAATTCCTACACACTAACTGTATAAGCAAATTGTATGCTATATAGATATTGGAAACAAGTGAGCAAGGGGGGAGAGGTATAGGCCATAGAAAAGGGAGTAGAAAGAAAATGATGAGTGCATTAAGAGAATCTCATTGCAGGGCAACCTCATTATGCATGTCCAAAGAGCAACGAAGCTGGTGAAGGGTCTGGAGAGCAAGTCTTATGAGGAGTGGCTCAGGGAACTGGGGGGGCTTAGCCTGGAGAAAAGGAGCCTCAGGGGGGACCTTATCACTCTCTACAACTACCTGAAAGGAGGTTGTAGCAAGGTGGGTGTCAGTCTCTTCTCCCAAGTAACAAGCAATAGGACAAGAGGAAATGGCCTCAAGTTGTGCCAGGGGAGGTTTAGATTGGACATTAGGAAAAATTTCTTCACTGAAAGGGTTGTCAAGCACTGGAACAGGCTGCCCAGGGACGTGGTTGAGTCACCATCCCTGGAGGTATTTAAAAGACGTGTGATGTGGCGCTTAGGGACATGGTTTAGTGGTGGACTTGGCAGTGTTAGGTTTACGGTTGGTCTTGATGATCCTAAAGGTCCTTTCCAACCTAAATGATTCTATGATTATTTTTATCAAGATGGACAGATCATGTACATGGACTTACTTCTTTGCATAGGCTACAAAACATACTGATTATTTAAAAAGAAAAAGTGTATGTATGAATTGTTTGTGCTTGTCAACAAGCAACAAGTAATTCAATCAACATACTTTCCGTAAAGCATTCATCCTGTCACTTGCTTTCCCCATTGCAAAACCTGCAAGGCAGAAAAGAGTCATTTTATTACTGAGAAATACATGAGGCAGGACCTTCAGAAAGCAAAAGGGGAAAAACAGAGAACTTCACAACCACTTTTAGTACCTCTTATTTCCACTCCATTGCAGAGATCATACTTGGGAAATGGTCCAGAGAAAACCACAGAAACCATAGAAAGTAACAGTTTAGGAGTTATGAATACCTAACAATTGGATGCCAAATGCTTGTTGTCAAATGAAAACAATAAGGCTTAAGTTATTTCTTTTGTGTATTTGTCCAACTTGTTCCAAACAATTGAATAGTGGTGACTGCTTCAGCTGTGGCAGGTGCACCTGCCCTGACTAAGACTGGGGACCTTAAGACAGCTGCATCCTTCCTTTTCGCACCTTTAAGGTGGCAAGTGTGACACACCTTGGGGCGGTGATTATGGTCATGTATACACCTTGGGCAAGGAGTAAGAAAGTCAAGGCCCTCAGCCAATTAGAATTGACCACAGATCAGATTTGACTACGGTATAAATGGAGCCCCACCAGAGGGCAAATTGAGCCAGTCCTCTGAGCAGCAGGTCTGCAGTCAGGGACTCTCCCCTTGGGTCAGGACGCCACCCAAGGAAACTCCTCAAGGTTGAGAGCCCTCATCTTATAGGTGAGTGATTGTGCACATTTTGGATCCTCATTTCTGAAGCCAGCTGTGCAGTATTAATTCTTTGTACACCATCCTCAACCTGTGGTTTTGCTGAGTGTCAATGCCTCATTTCTAGTTAGTTTTCTGCTAAACGATTTTGGTTAAAATAAAGTTTATTTTTGAGTCTATCATCTGCCTAATTTGATTACATGAGCCTCCACAACATCAGCCAAAAAAAATCCAGCTTAAAAAGAAAAAAGGGAAGAAAGAAAAAAAAAAAAAGGAAGCTAACACAGATATATCAACTACGTCTGTACAAGGAGCCTAGAAGCAAAGAAGGAGACTGTGTTCCTATTAGCAAAATAGAGAATATGAAAACCAGGTTTAACAGAATAGTGCATTTGCAAAAAATGCATGCCTGTAGAACAGAGAAAAAACAGACTGCCAGTTTACAAACTGCTACCTAATTCTCTCTGAACCCTGAGACCAACTCCTATTTACCAGGTGAACTGTGGTAGCGATGAATGATTTCACAGCAGTCTCAGAGTATTTGCAGTTAGCTCAGAGCAGGGCATCAACTGACTGTGTGGAATGAGTAAGAGGATGTGACAACCATTTTTACAAACTCTGTAGTCCAACAATGTCAAGGTAGATTGAGTTAAAATCACTTAACTTCAAATCAGTGGATCTAGCTTTTTTGGTCCTTTGATGTTTCTATTGTGTCAGCTGGGGTTGTGGGTTACGTGTAACCAAAAGCATAATCCAAAAATCAATGGGATTGGACCCATTGGCCAACACTGACTCACTAATTTTATGCAGACATTACAGGAGAACTGGGCTGGAACAGATCTAGGAAAGAAATACCGTCCTGACTGTTGTGGTGCTACAAGCAAAGAGGATATATGACCACAAGTCTGGAGGCTGCTGTGGAAGAAGCAGGCAGTCAAGGGTAGTGTCTGCTATCAGCTACCTCTTGAGACAGCGTTCCCTGTGCATGCACCATACACCCAGAGGTCTCTGTCACTTTCTAACTCCTGCACGAGAAAATGCAACGAAACTGTGCAATTCTTTTAAACACACACACAGAGCACAATAGCAGTGTATTAATGCTGTGAATTCACACAATAGATTAGAAAATGCCAAAAATGAGGTCACCTGTGCAATCCCAATTCAATCATTCAGCACATATGGATTAAAGTGATAACCTTCTTTTCAAAGAAGTGGTAGGAAGAATTTTTCCACAGTAACATAACTTTCTGCTGGAGAACGACTCCTTCCTCTATATATAAATCTTCCTCCCCTCCAAACTGCAATTAAAATTCATCTTGAGGAATACATCTGGACTTGAATCTTTCACATAAATGAAGTTCTGCAAAACTGCAGTTGACTGGAAATACAGTTGTCTTATTAAAGCTCCCACATACATCCCATCATCAGAGATACCTATTCGACTCATAATAAAAGGATACTATTTACATCCAAAAGGTGGATGCTCTGCATATATACTGAAAGCAGGATTTTCTTTACTAGAGTCATATAGCAATGCAAATGCAATTTCCTGTACTCTATCACCAATACAATACATGCCATATTCCTACCTCCTGATAGAGGTAGGAATCTTCTATTATTTGGATTATATTATTTGGATTATTTACTTCACAGCTATTCACTTTCTATTTTTTTAGCTGATTCTTCTTTTAATTCTGCACAGCTGCCTTATCTCTAAGTCCATTTGAGGTCTAATGGGAATTCTAATGTACATCGGTTTGTATCCACAAGAGAATGCATGAAAACTATCTCCTTACGGAGAAAAACTTAGCGCATTCAAGGGTGCTTCTTAAATAAAACTTATCCTGCAACAAAAAAAAAAAAGTTTTAACCCCTGGTATTTGAAAACTGAGTGAAAGATAAACACTATTTCCTCAATAACAGAACTGGAAACCTGCAAGAAACTCATTGCTGTACAGGGTGGCTACACAGTTCCTTTATGGATGCCTTTACAATTAAGTGGTATTAGCATTACCTTTTTTAATTCTGTCTCGGAATCTGACTCATCCCAAAAGCTGGCTACCAAAAGCAAAGCATGTACCGTCAAATGAAGGATGCCCAATAATCTTTGTAACTGACAAAGTGAAACAGAAAATCCCTAAGAGAAAATATACTTTTCTCGGAATATCTACCAGCCTTTACAGATTTTTTAAAAAGACAGTGACAGTTTTGTTTTTTGTTGGGTTTTTTTTTTTTTTTTAAAGACAGTGACAGTGACCACCACATCATGGAATGTCTCCTTTTGCTTTACCAATATGTAATATTGTTAAGTATTATATATCCAGTAATATCCTATATATAAAGACCTGGCTATACCATTGCATTGAAGTACTAATATGTGCTTGTCAGCCTTGTCTGGCCTTGTCTGTTTTCTTTTGGTTGGCTGGTTGTTATTTTTTTTTAAACGGGACCTGCTTGTTTAGAAAATTTGCAACCATAACACAGAAACTACTTCAGTCTTCTCTACATTGACCTTCCCATCAACAGCAATAACTGATTCAACTAAGAATTTTTCTTGCAACTTTTTACTTTGCATATAACCCCGTAAAAAGCTGCAGTAGAGTGAATTCTTTTCTCCTCATTTTGTAAAGACCGATTCTGACCAACTCAAAGGCTCTTCTACACTAACACTAGCTAGAAAATAACCGAGGAAAACGCACAACCAGTCATGCTGCCCTTTGCTGCAAAGTGGTCACCGCTGTTAGAGCAAATGAAAATAAAACCCCAAGAACCCCAACAACATGAAAGTGATTTTCAAAACCGGAAAGACAAATCCACATCCGCTGACTCCTACTTTCTTATGACTCTATCTGCTCTACTAACCATGGAGGCCCAGGTTTTCAGTCATTTTAGTCAAGCACAGGCACCTCTGTGAAGAGCACACTCAGCTGAGTTTTCTTCCACCATCAGCGCAAGGGGACGAATACTTCCTGGGGCATGTCAGCTGACCTGCAATTCCAGGCACCTTCTGCAGGTGCCCGATTCTTTTCTTTGACTTGAGAGTAAACAACTACACTCTGCAGCTAGGTGCCTAAGGCTAGGTGAAACAAATGCAGATATGCATGGCTGAATACTTTCAGGCTTTTATATTTTTTAAACATAAACAGTATCTACAGTAAAAAGAAACAGTGTGTACAGGAAAGCATAGATGATCCCTTCTGGTAGGATCTACCAGTGGTTAGTTCTATCACTCTAGAGTTAAATAAAAAATGTTTTTACCACTAGATAATATATGCTTCTAACCTAATCACATATTATTACTTTTCCCAATTTCTTTTTTTATACAAAACAAAGTGTCCAAATGAATACATACATAATTTGATTATAAAGCTTACTTTTATAGATGAAACTCAAAATTCTTACAGCTATTTCAAATTGCCCAGTGGAAAAAAGGGTAAATTTTTTTTTTTTTAGTATAAAATATCCTATTAGAAACAATGATTAATTTTGGCATCTTTTACATAAAGTAAAGGCACATACCTGCAGCTCCTTTACCGTTTCCAATAGCCACTAAGGCACGTATTGATTTTTTTCTGCCTTCCTTTGCCTTCATACAAAACACATTTTTCACCTGAAGAAAAAAAACACAAAGCATCTTGTTATGGCAAAGTCCAACTGTATTTTTTTTTAAAAAGAGTCGGTTTACCAAAAAGGAATTTGAGGTCTGTGATGAAACCTTACAATATATACTGTCTTTCTCAATGGGTATCATCTGCAGTGGGACACTGGCTTCAAGGCATTAAATACGTAAAAGCTGTTAAAAACCTACACTCAGACACAGAAGTTACCTCAGTACACGTTCATTAAAATATCCCCTCTATTGTGTTTAGTTGCACAACAGATAATGCTCTAATGCTGCTAGCTTCATGTGTGATTTTAATCGTGATGAAAAAACATGGAAAAAATTTGAAAGTGACATTAATATCTCACCGTTCCCCTCACATTTTAACATACTTTAGAAGCACTCTCAGGAATTGCTCAGGGCACGTTGTTGCTTTACATGGATTAAAACTTAGGATTGAAATCTACTTGCAGACTGCAGAAGGCAGTCTCATTACTGAGATGACAGCTGCTAAAAAGACGACTTCATTTAAAAGAGGGGAAGAAGAAAATGGTATTTCATTCCTGGAACTAGAAATGTTTACAGAAACTCTGCAAGAAACTCAAGCAGAGATGCAAGAAAGCTATTTAGTTTGGAGTGGCGGGACACAACAACAATTGGGGAGACAGGTGGCCTTATGGTTAGCATTCTGGAAATCTAAATTTGCTTCTGCCTCTGCTACAGACTCCCCTGTGTGACTATAGGCAAGTCATTGCTTTATAGTCTCCCACCTTAAATGGTCTAACTTATCATCTGAGATCCTTTGTCTATCTAGCTCCTGTTCTAGTTTCCTTGGTTTTGTTTATATATTATAATATGTTTATTTACATATAGACAAATATTTTTATATATAGTTTCTATACTGTATATAATATATAAACTATATATAAAATATAAAAATATATAGTATATATAAAAATATATATACATATAGAATAACATACTGGATATTGCTTGACTACGTTAATATCTGTGTCTCAGAATTACCAGTCAAAAGATACAATTTACTTCATGGTTCATTTCTCCCCTTCCTCTCAAATGCATCAGGGTCTACTTTCTTGAAGCTTCAATATGATTTCCATAGATTATAACAACAGTTAAATTAAACATGCATTGTTAATACATGAATTAAGCAGTACTCCCCCCTTTTCCCTATATGCAATTCTTCAGTAAGCTAGTCTGGTTGTAGCATTATACATCTGAAAATAGATTATTATAAAATACTTGGTCATGGCTTAAACATTCTTACTGAAATTCACCAAAAAAAACCCCAAACCCAAAACCAACAAGTTCCACTGACATCACTAGGTACAGATTAGGAACAAGTGCTTCTGAAAAATACCACCTTGCTTTCATTAAAATAAAGATGCTGTTAAATTCAAGGTGCACATATATTCTAGACAGCACTTTGAAGAAATACCAGCTTTGCTAATTGCTTATTCCAAGCTATTTTTCTTTCTGCAATCTTATTGCTTACAAGAACAAGCTAAAAAACCAAGCCCCCCTAAGATGAAAGTGCCTGTGGAAATAGGCTATTTACAGAACATGCAAAATAATGATGAAAGAAAGAAAAGAAAGTGGAGTGATCTCTCCAGGAGCATCAAGAGCATACTATTTTTGCTTTGCACATACTTTTGTCTTCCATTGCCGATCTGAATAAGTACTTGTACAAAAAAAACAGTTGGTATGCGTTACCAATAAGTACGTGATGTTTGTAGAATCTACTCAAAAATTATTCTTCTCCCTCTCCAGAAGGTGGCACAAAGACACATGCAATGAGCTTCTCCAGAAGCCTTCCTAAAACTGCACTTGTCAGCTGTTTCTGAGCAGCTCTGAAGGAAAATGTGTTCAGTCACCCATCACAATCAGTGCTATTGCATCTCTCCTGAAACACCGTAAAGGCCTCCCAAGCTTGATAATGTGCACAGGTAGCCATGACTGCTGGAACAACAGTCCTTAGATTCTCCCCACCACAGCCCTGTGCCTCCTTACATCAAAGAAAGCAGTGCTCTTCTGGAATGCGCTCAGCAATGCTTCCCTTCCATCTTGGAAATAAAGCATGCAGCTGAAAGCCTATCATTAAACTGCACTGGAATTAATTAATACACAATGAAAAAAGTGCCACTTTTAAAACAGCGTGACCTCTGAAAAGTGACTGAAACTTTTCCCTATTTACTACACAATTACCCCTATTTACTAGATTGCCACTCAAGCCAGATTTAAAGCCAATTTTTTAAATTTGAAAACAGATGCATGCTCAACCTTAATCACAGTGTACCTCAAGTTGACTGTCTCCCTGCATCCATTATCCAGTGGTGATAATGCAAATTCAGCTTGCTTTCGAGAGCTGAGGGAAGAACAGCATTGCTCAAATACAAAATGAAACCACCTCAAACATTTATTAAGAGAAGAAAAGGCAAGCAACAGTTTCAAAGGCGGAGTTGAAAGTGTGGAAATAGGCTACAGTCAGAGACAGGCTGCTAAAGGTTATTGTGAATTCAAGTACTTATCAGCTGTTGCGCTCTGTTAGAAAGAGGTAAAAACCCAACACTTCCCTAGAGGTTTTGTTCTTGTAAAAGCAGAATGAACGACAGGCCAAACTGATTGCCCTTGGAAAGTCCTCCTTTCTAGAAATCATATTCTAATCATGATTTTCAGGAACCTGCCACCTCTAGGCCACACTCTTGACACTGCTATTCTTTTGCTGTTGTTATGCAGAGGAGAGTGTCTGCACAGGCTGATCCCCTCATGGCATAAGGTCCTCTGGTCCCAATACTTCTCTAAGGTACAAGGTGAGACAAGATAAAATGAGAGCAGGGTGCAGTGCTGAAAGAAAAGCACTTCCATGCAAGTGAGCCTAGAGAGGCTCAGGGACATAGCTAAAAGGCTTGGGAAGCCAGTTACCCAAAAGAATTGAGTAATAAACTTGTAAAGAAAAATCAAGCCCATGTTAGCTACACCGTGTCTGTATCAGCCTTCTCCTCTCTCTGAAAAGCACCAAGGGCAGAGCAGATTTGTACCACAATGACAGAATATCTCCCAGTTGTAACTTAAATCTACTGTACCTAAAAATCAGAAATTGCACAAGCTAGCTGGAGAGCAGAACTAGTATTGCTGACAAGTGACAAGAGTGTTATATGGTTTCCCTAAAAGTGTGCAAATAGTGGGCAGTGGCAAGGGCAGTGCTTCAGGAAAAGGCAAATTAGTCTGTCTTCTGCTATGATTACTAAGATGTGACCTTCTCAAGAACAGCTAGCTAGTGAATTTATCAGTCCGTACTGATGTTCAATATAAGTGTTAGGGAGGGCCAAATTCAGTAGCCCAACAGAAGCGAGTCTGCCATAACTCCGTGCTCCCAGGTCCAACAAGGTGTTAAGGGATGTCAGGAGCGGACACCATCTCCCACAGCTCCGGGCCCAGGACTTTGTCCTGCCTGGCCACTGGAGCCCAGCCCAGCCAGGCTGAGGGACATGGCTGCAGGTTCAAAAAGTAGCAAAGCCGAGTATGTATCCCAGAGACACACATGCAGGACACTGACATGTCCAGTTACAGTCTGTCACAGACAAGGCACTGCCTTAAACAGCACCTACATATAGGACTTGCATAAAACCTAAGTATAGTCAGCCACGTCCCCTTCCTCTTTTTTGACTGGTAGAGACTGAGGTTCACTAGTGCAGGCCCATACAATCCATTCTCTAGATTCACGAGCACATGCACGTTTGCACATTCCCCCAAGTACCAGCATGTCCCTTCTGTCCATCTGACAGAATGGGCCCAGGCCCTCTTACCCGCTTCATGGATCTTCCACTTGCCGGCTGGTCCAGCTTGGTCTTCACTAGCAAACACGCAGCACTCACACACTCGTCTCAAAGGCACTCCACATTCGCAGGTCCCTCTGAATACAAGCAACTGGTCCTCTGCTTGTCTGACCCCACGCCTGGACCTCTGGCTTCCTACTTGCTGGCTAGTCCAGCTTGGAAGTTTGCTAGTAAGTTACACCTCCCCCCTGAAACAAACATCAGGTTTGGGGAAGATACAGACCTTCACCTCCCTGCTGCCTCCACAGCAGCTGGCACCAGGCAGACAGGCTTTGACCCGTGGTCCTGCCCCAGGCACCAGTGCTAAGGCCCTGACTTGCTTCACTCACCCTGGTCCCTCCCAGTAGATGATTTTCAGGAAACACCACTCCTGCACCAGTGGCTGGTGGCAAAGACCCTCACCTTCTCCAGTGGCTTGCACTGAGACCCCACTCACGCCTGTTGCTGATACCAGAAGTCAGGGGTGCCCACATCCCCAGTTTGATTGCAGTTGCTGGCACCAATTTCACTCCCATTTTCACACTGGACCTCTATCAGATAATCTTAATGAAATAAACATTCTCACGTTCCACATACCCTTAGCAACTAGTGTGGCTGACCAGGTTTGGTTCTCATTACTGCCTGCCTTGTAGTTTGTCAGTCAGGTTTGTGTCTGTATGTTCTCTTTTATGGCTTCTCCCTTATTATCCCCTTTCTACATTGTCATGCACCCTTAAAGGAGGAGATGCTCTCTCCATCCATGTACCCTTAAAGAAAGCTGATACACCTATACAACATGTATATGCATATATACACAGCAAGCCCTGCAGATTAACACAAACAGAAATGAACAGCGCTCACACAAACACAAACAGCACTAATAGCCTCATCCTGTTCCTCTCGCTGGCTGATCAAGATGAAGATCCATCAGTGGCAAATATATATACTCCAGTTGCTGGCACTTAGAACCCCCCCCATACACGCACATGCACACAGTAAACAAGATTTTTTATCTAGCCCAAGAAAATAGTTAGTTTAATAAGAAGTCAGGACAGACTACTGATCAGACACAGGTCACGGCAAGACAAGCATACTGACCAGCCCTGCTTACATGTGAGCCACTCTTTCTATCCCCTTTTCCCTCTATTTTCCCCACACTTGTTCCTCCCCAAA